GCTCAATGGCTAAGACACTGAGCTTGTCGATTGAAAGGTCGACAGTTCAGTGGTTCGAATCCCTAGTGCCGCGTAACGGGGTGAGCTCCTGTTACTTGTCTCAGCTTCTGCCAATCTAGCAGTTCGAAAGCACTTAAAGAAATGCAAGTAGAAAAATAGGGACCACCTTTGGTGGGAAGGTAAGAGCGTTCCGTGCGCCTCTGACGTTTAGTCATGCCAGCCACATGACCATGGAGACGTCTTTGGACAGTGCTGGCTCTTCGGCTTTGAAACGGAGATGAGCACCACCCCCTAGAGTCGGGAACGACTATCACATATATGCGAGGGGAATCTTTACCCTTATCTAGCACCAACTTTTGCAAAGGTCTGCTTAATTTTGCATTTTATGGGAGGAACAAAGATGTTTGCATAACTTGAACACCTCGCCTCTCTCGGACTGCTAGACATCCTTGCTCTGCTTTGGGGTGGCTTTAGAGAACTGTTACTAGCTGCTCCATTGCATCTTCAAATAATAACAAGTAGTGGTAAACCACCTGGCAGGTGCCTACTATTGAACATTACGCTTTCTCAGGCTATTTGAAATGCACACACACAGTCTTGGCCAGGAGGAAGGTGCTTTCCAGATGTTTATGGTTGTTTACGATTTATCTGGTCTTTGGGTGTTAAGTGAATTTCGTTGTATGGGTATACTGTGTATACCCGTACAATGACAATAAAGTCATTTTTTATTATTATTATTATTATTATTATTATTATTATTATTATTATTATTATTTACTTTATTCATTAAACATGAAACTCAGTCAACATTCAAAAATGCATCACAAATACCATTGACTGGTGCTAATGGTTGATATGGGTTGCTGCCAGCGTCCGAGGTATCAACCAAGTACCTTCTTAAGATGTACAATGTTCCAAGTAGCACAGTTTTTTGCAGTTCCTCTGGTGTTATTGCAGGAAGCTGCAATTTGCTGATGTATCTTATAAAATTTTTGGACATGGTACCAAGTGCCCCGATGACAATGGGTATCACTGTTACATGTTTCATCCATAGCCATGTAGTTTTTTATTATTATTATTGTTGGTTAATCTTTGGTGAGATTCACAGCCTTTGAGGCTGGTTAATAGCTCAGCAGCTCGAGTCCTAATCAAGGACCTAGGAACTGTTAAGGTATCGTCAGAGGATGTAAGCTGTTCCAAGTAAGGTGGTTTTTTGTAGAGTCAAAATGTTCAAGTCCTGTAAATTTAGAATTTCTAAATAGCGAGGTAGCCCTTTGGGTATTGCTCCAAGGGCTCCAATTACAATTGGGTTGTTGTTGTTGTTGTTGTTATTATTATTATTTAATCTTTGGTAAGATTCACAGCCTTTGAGGCTGGTTAATAGCTCAGCAGCTCGAGTCCTAACCAAGGACCTAGGAACTGTTAAGGTATCGTCAGAGGATGTAAGCTGTTCTGAGTAAAGTGGGGTTTGTTTTTTTTTGGTGGTTGTTGTTATTACTATTATTATTGTTGTTGTTATTTGGTCTGTTGGTAAAGATTCCTTTGGTTTGTAACACACTAAAGAGATCATTCCTAAGGACATTCCATCCAATTCCACCACAGGTAGTCCTTAACTTACAACACTTCATTTAGTGACCATTTGAAGTTACAGTGGCACTGAAAAAAAGTGACATACAACCGGCTGAGGATTCTGGGAGCTGAAGTTCCAGAGGTCTTAAAAATTGCCAAGGTTGGACAGCCCTGGCCTAAAGTCTTCCTTTGGAACCTTGTGTCTTCTTCCCAAAATAATTAGGCCATAAAAACCAACTTGTGTCTTGGTGCAGGCTGGGTCCATTGAAACACAAGTCTTCCACTTCCTCCGTTATCAGCAACAGATTCATGTTGTCCTGGCCGTTTGCCAGTTTTGGTAGCAAATTGTTCAAAAAAGTTACACTGACTCCTTTTTCCTAAAGAAGATAGAAGAGAAGGAAAGGAGAGTTAGGGTGGGAGGCAAAGTTTTAGGGGCTTCTCTTTTGTTCCTCCAAGTGAGAGAGAGGACAGAAAATAGAACCATGGACCCTTGACTTCGGTTTCATTATTATTTCAATTTTAATTTCAATTTTACTTTTTTAAAAAGGGAGGCTGCATGGGAGAACAGCAGCTTCCGGTGTCCTCTCGGCTTTCTGCCATCCAACCCTAGTGAGTAATAGGAGTGAGTATCTGCCTGTTCTTGTTTTAAAAAGGTAAAGGTTCCCCTCGCACATATGTGTTAGTCCTTCCTGACTCTAGGGGGCAGTGCTCATCTCCGTTTCAAAGCTGAAGAGCCAGCGCTGTCCGAAGACGTCTCCGTGGTCATGTGGCTGGCATGACGAAACGCCAAAGGCACACAGAACGCTGTTCCCTTCCCACCAAAGGCGGTCCTTATTTTTCTACTTGCATTTTTTATGTGCTTTCAAACTGCTAGGTTGGCAGAAGCTGGGACAAGTAACGGGAGCTCACTCCATTACGCGGCACTAGGGATTCGAACCGCTGAACTGCTGACCTTTCGATTGACAAGCTCAGCCTCTTAGCCACTGAGCCACCGCGTCCCTCTTCTTGTTTTACTCAACTGCTATTCGACTGCTCGTTCCTGGTTGCAACTAGAGCTCTTTGCATTGAACTGGTATTTGGCTTTTCGTGACTTGGTTCTTTGTTTAATTACAGCTGTCTTCCGGCTATCTTCATGTTTCATATAAGTCTCTTTCCTTCATTTCTACACACACACACACAGAGAGAGAGAGAGAGAGAGAGAGAGAGTTCTCTGTATTCCTTTCGGGGAAAGTCTTTGGGCATCCAGATTTTCAGTGTGCTTAAGTGTGTTGGCAAAAGAAAAGGGTGCCACCTGCATATGGAGGATACCTGGCTTGTCCATTTTTCATATTTACAGGTAGTGCTTGACTCATGGCGACAACGGAGCCCAATATTTCTGTTGCCAAGCGAAACAGTTGTTAAGTGAGTTTTGCCCCCATTTTACAACCTTTCTTGCCACAGTTGTTAAGTGGACCACTGCAGTTAGTGACACAGTTGTTCTGTGAATCTGGCTTCCCCGTTGACTTTGCTTGTCACAAGTTTGCAAACCGGGACACTGCAACCGTCATAAATAGGAGTCAGTTGTCTGAATTTTGATCACGTGACCATGGGGGGGGGTTGCTGCAACGGGCGTTAAGTGTGAAAAAAGGGTCATAAGTCACTTTTTTCAGTGCTGCTGTAACTTTAAATGGTCACTAAACAAACATTGCAATGAATAAAGGCATACATTCAATTTCGCAGCTACTAAGATTGTTGGCGGAGCAGGTACAAAAATAGCCACGGAAATGATTGAAGCCTGGGAAACGAGCCCTTATCCGTCAACAGGAGTACTGATATATCACCAGCTTATCAGGCACTTAGTAGCTGAGGACTTGGCAGCACAAGGCACACATTTTGGTAGAGAGGAATTCCCCGAGGATGGTCTCCACATGACTCGGAAGACTAAACCTCTGGTCCCAGTAACTGACCCAGATTGGATCCTGCACTAAATGAACATACAAGTCGAGGACTGCTTGTATTTTATTTCATTTGTCCAGTGATGAAATCCAATTTTTTTTACTGCCGGTTCTGTGTCCGTGGCTTGGTGAGTGTGGTGTGGCTTGGTGGGTGTGGCAGGGGAAGGATACTGCAAAATCCCCATTCCCTCCCCACTCCGGTGGGAAGGATATTGCAAAATCTCCATTCCCTCCCCACTCCTGGGGGAAGGATACTGCAAAATCCCCATTCCCTCCCCACTCCTGGGGGGAAGGATACTGCAAAGTCCCCATTCCCTCCCCACTCCTGGGGGAAGGATATTGCAAAATCTCCATTCCCACCCCACTGCAGGGAAAGGATACTGCAAAATCCCCATTCCCTCCCCACTCTTTTGCCGGTTCTCCGAACTACTCAAAATTTCCCCTACCGGTTCTCCAGAACCTGCTAGATTTCACCCCTGCATTTGTCTCTTTACTAAACCCCATGCGAGCAGACTGAAACTTGCTTACTGTTATTATGGGAACAAGAAAAACGCAGCAAAAATTGTAATAATGCAAAACATACTTTGTGAAAACGTTGGCAGGGGGGCAGGGAAAGCAAAATTGAAACGGGACCATTCAGCCAACATCCACGTAGGAAATAACGTTTGTACATTCATTCCAGATGATATCACTCTAGGAATTTCGTGTGTACGTTAGAAAGCAAAGGGAATGGATACGCTGGCCTTCGACTCCCTTTCCCCATTGGGTCTCCTGATGGAGGAAAGCATGGGAATTGTAGTCCAACACATCTGGAGGTCATCACGCTGGAACAGATGACTGCAAGACTAGCATAGCAATACATTTTTATTTTGGGAGTGGGGGGTGAGAAATCTGTGTTGAACCCTTTGGGGTGTTTCGGAATAAATGTGCATGCCAATTTTTTTTTTCTGCAGGGTTTAATTTACTAAATAGCCCCTCGAATGTGGGATGCAAACAGATACTAATATCCCAGAAATGGACATAGCAGTCTTGTTTTATTACATGAGAAAACCAGATTAGATACTGGAGGCTAGGTAATGAAATGTTGCAATGCGTCACGGATTGAAGAGAAATGGAAAGGCTGTATTGCAGACATCTGCAGCCAAGTTTTTTTTATTTATTTATTTTTTTATTTTATTTATATGCCGCCCTTCTCTGGAGACTCAGGGCGGCTTACAATGCGCTAAGCAATAGCCTTCATTCTTTTGTATATTTATACAAAGTCAGCTTATTGCCCCCACAACTGAGTCCTCAATTTACCTACCTTAGAAAAGATGGAAGGCTGAGTCAACCTTGAGCCTTGGCGAGATTCGAACCTGCAGCAATTGCAGGCAGCTGGTCTTAATAACAGGATGCCTTAGACCACTGCACTACCAAGGCACGAGCACAAGTTGGTGTGCTTGTGCGTGGTTTTCCTCACAAAGCTAACTGGCGGTCTCTGTTTCTCCCTTTTCTTAGGCCAAGAGAAAACTGGATCTGGAAGGAACTGCCCAGCAGCGCATCCCAGAATTCCGAACACCAAAAGGCAAAGGAACCGCGCTCCCACACATCCCTAGTCCCAAAAGTAAGAGGCATTGGATAAGGAAACACTGGAACGGGAACGAAAGGATGCACTTGCAGAGTCTAGAGTCGCTGTCTTAAGTTTCTAGTCCTCATTGGTGATTACTGTATTTTTCGGAGTATAAGATGCATTTCCCCCCCTTAAAGAGGGTGAAAATTTGGGTGTGTCTTATACACCGAATGTAGCCCCAGCCCCCACCCTTTGGCCTCTGCCTCCCAGCAATTTGCCTCCTTGCAGCAAACAGCCTGTTTCAGCTTCAGCACAGCCTGATTAACACAAGCAGCTGGGCCTCCCGACCATCAGCTGTTTCAGGCTGCATTGGGCCTTTGCTGTTTGCTGCAAGGAAGCAAATCTCTGGGAGGCAGATTTTTTTTTCCCTTGTGCTAATCAGACTATGATGAAACTGAAACAGGCTGTTTGCTATTTGCTACAAGGAGACAAATTGCTGGGAGGCAGAGACAGATTTTTTTTCCCTTGTTTTCCTCCCCCCAAAAATAGATGCGTCTTATAGTCCGGAGCGTCTTATACTCGGAAAAATACAGTAGCTTGAAATGGGGCGGGGGCAGATTCCAGTGAAAAGTGAAAAATCTGCTTTAGACTCCCAAGTTTTTATTCAGCATTACCTGCTTAGCTCAGATTATTATTATTATTATTATTATTATTATTATTATTATTATTATTATTATTATTATTATTATTATTTAATCTTTAATGAGATTCACAGCCTTTGAGGCTGGTTAATAGCTCAGCTGCTCGAGTTCCTAACCAAGGACCTAGGAACTGTTAAGGTATTGTCGGAGGATGTAAGCTGTTCTGAGTAAGGTGGTTTTCTGTAGAGTCAAAATGCTATTATTATTATTATTATTATTATTATCATCATCATCATCATCATCATCATCAAGTGTTTGGATTTTACCCACAAGAATGGAATTTTCAAGAGAAATCCATTTTCCAGTAAAGGAAGCTGTCTTTTGTTTTTCCTTCAGTCATACTTCTGGGAATAATGTTATATCCTAAAGAAACATTACATAACACTGTAGGGTTATCTCAGGAGCCTAGATCTAACCTAACCTAGAGTCCTGCTGGAGAAGGGCGGTATAAAAATCAAATAAAATAAAAAATAATAGCAAGGATGGCTGCACTGAAGCCCTTTTGGCCACTAGAGGGCAATAGAACACCATTTTTTCTTTAGCCTAGGTGCTGAAAAGATTTCCTATTTCAGAAACCTCTTTTTCCATCTCTTCTACAAATTTTATTTTAAAAATTAAAAAATAAACAAAAATATTTGTTTTTTTTTTTTTAATTTTATTTTACTTATTTTTCAATTTATTTTTTTTTTGCAATTCCACCATACCTGGTCAAGATGATCATCCTGCCTGGAATGTGGGTTGTATTCTAGCACGTTTTGAAGGCATTGAAATGAGAGTTTCAACAAAAATTCAAGCAGAAACTTAAATTTGCAGAGACCCAAAGACCAGCTGGCCGGCGGGAGGCGCATGTGCAGTGGAGCTGAACTGGGGCAATGGCTCACTTGCCGTCAGAGAGGGCGCTGCGTGCCACCTCTGGCACGCGTGCCATAGGTTCGCCATCACGAAGATAGAAGATACAGAATACTATTCAACATGGAATAGATTCTATCCCAAAGAATTTTTAACCCCTGTTAGTACGATTGTGTTGCATGGATTTTCTTTGTCTTCTAGCCCCCAAGTCTCCTGGAGAGAAAACTCGCTATGATACATCTCTTGGCCTGCTGACCAAGAAGTTTATCCACTTGCTCAGTGAATCGGAAGACGGGGTTCTGGACTTGAATCGGGCTGCTGAGGTGCTGGAGGTGCAAAAACGACGTATCTACGACATCACCAACGTCCTGGAAGGGATTCAGCTCATTCGCAAGAAATCCAAGAACAATATCCAGTGGATGTAAGTTGGTTGGAAAAGACTTCAGGGTGCAGAGAGGTCTGGAGAGAACGGCCAATCTAGGTTGGGTTGGATATCATGAGCAGAACATCATTAGTTTGGTGAAAGTCACCCTTCCCCACCCAACTAGAAGATCTCCAGATGGGGGATTCTTCAGTTCCTAAAATTCTAGCATTCCCGTAGGAAAAGATTGTGTTCCAGACATCTGTAGTATAACCAGGCTGGGGAAAACAGCTGGTTATCCAGCCTGTGCTTGAAAGAGTATATCTGGCAGGTATTTCTTTAACTGGATTTCTTCTACAGAGAGAATGGTAGTTCTTGACCTATGACCATTAATTTAGCGGCTGTCTACCTCAGCATCTCCATGTTCACATCATTGCGATCTGAGTGCTTGGCAACCAGTTTGCATATATGATTGCAGCATCCTATGTGCACGTGATCGGTTTGCAACCTTCCCTAACAGCTTCCAACAAGCAAAATCAGTAGGAAGCTGCAAATAAGTTTCTAGTCCCTGGGGTAAGTTTCTTACGCCCATGTGCCCTCCCACAGCCCCTCTGCATTCACATTGTGCTGACTACTTATGCACTCCCACCCACACTCCCCAAACCTCGCGACGCCTTCCTCACACCCCACAGACCCCCTCCTCAATCCGCACTGGGCCTCTCATGTACCTTGGACGCTCTCCAACCTGGTTTCTCATGGAAACTCTCATACCCTTATGCATCCTCTTCATGCCACACCTCTCATGTACCACCCTTACACCTTTGCACGCTTCCCCAGTACCCCCTTCACTCCCTCCTCCCCTATCCAACGCCAGCCACTTATCTGCTTGCAAGCCTGGGACTTTCGACTTCCTGCCAGCTTCCCCAGTGACTTCGGTTGCAGGAAGTTGACTCGGCGAATGACCGACCGTGGGATTCGGTTAATAACGGCAACTGAGACGGAAGGAAGTGCCGCCCCTAAGCATTTCAGTCACGCTTTACAATTTCCTGTGGGATTGCTGTGCTGTGTCTTAAATCTTACCGAGCCCCCTCCAATTTTACATGGATCTGCAGCTGAGCATTTTTTATCCATTCATCCAGATTGAGCAGGTTTTTTCCCCTCTCTAACCAAGCTGGCTCCTGGATTAGCTGAGAAGTCAATAATAAGACCTTATGCGGCTTGCAATCTAAACGACATAGCACACAAGGAAAGGAAATGGGTTTGGAACAGGGGTGAAATGCTCCCGGTTCGGACCGGATCGCCCGATCCGGTAGCGATGGAGGTGGGTAGTTCGGAGAACCGGTAGCAAAAATCCCTGCCCCCCCCCATGCCCAGCTGAGCCACATGATCATCAGAGGCTTTTTTTCTTTTAAAAGCCTCTGCCGATCAGGCAACTCAGCTTGGATCGTCAGAGTCATTTAAAAGAAAAAAAGCCTCTGCCAATCAGGCAACTTAGCTTGGATCGTCAGAGGCATTTAAAAGAAAAAAAGCCTCTGCCCATCAGGCAACTCAGCTTGGATCGTCAGAGGCATTTAAAAGAAAAAAAGCCTCTGACGATCAGGCAACTCAGCTTGGATCGTCAGAGCCTTTTGAAAGCATTTTTTTTACAACCTCTTCGCCAAAGAAGTTGTAGAAAAAATTGTTGTAAAAGTTTTTTAAAAATTGGCCACGCCCACCCAGTCACATTACCCTCCCCCCCCCCCCAAGCCACACACACAGAACCGGTAGTAACAAATTTTAGATTTCACCACTGCTTTGGAAGAAAAAATATTGCAAACCGGGCCTTCCGTGTTCCAAATTCCACCCCTTCTTGCAATCAGCTAGGCAGCAAATAGACGTAGTGCTGGAGTTACGACCACAATTGATCCCAGAATTTCTGTTGCTAAGTGAGGCAGGTGTCCAGTGAATTTTGGCCCATTTCACAACCTTTCTTGCCGCAGTTGTTACGTGAATCAATCACTGCCGTTGTAACCCGGTTGTTAAGTGGATCTGGCTTCCCCCATTGACTTTGCTTGTCAGAAGGTCTTCGAAGGGGATCACATGACTCTGGGACACGGCATCCGTCATAAATGTGAGCCAGTTGTCAAGCGTCTGAATTTTGATCATGGGGATGCTGCAACAGTCGTAAGTGTGAAAAATGGTCATAAGTCACTTTTTTCAGTGTCATTGTAACTTCGAATGGTCACTAAATGAAACCTGTAGTGCAGTTAAACCTATACCAAAATGGTGCATTTTTCTGCAGAACCAACGAATTAGTTTTGCTTTTTTAACCGTAAAGGTAAAGGTTCCCCTTGCACATATGTGCTAGCCGTTCCCGACTCTAGGGGCTGGTGCTCATATCCATTTCAAAGTCGAAGAGCCAGCGCTGTCCGAAGACATCTCCGTGGTCATGTGGCCGACAGGACTAAACGCCAAAGGCATAAGGACCACTGTTCCCTTCCCACCAAAGGTGGTCCCTATTTTTCTACTTGCATTTTTTACGTGCTTTCGAACTGCTAGGTTGGCAGAAGCTGGGACAAGGAAAAGGAGCTCAGCCCGTTACGCGGCACTCAGGATTCGAACTGCTGAACTGCCGACCTTTCGATCGACAAGCTCAGCGTCTTAGCCCCTGAGCCACCGCATCCCTTTTTAACCCCATCCCAAGGCCCAATTGGATATCACTTTTCTTAAAGAGAGATGCTGTTTTCTTTTGAGAATTACTTTGAATATTTACAGTTTCTCTGGCTGTCTCTATAAGGAGGGGGCATTTTCCCAGATTTTGCTCTGCTCACTTCTTAATACCTTCTGCTTCTGCTTTCCTTTATCAGGCAGAGTCACATTTCAAATCAGTTTCCTTAATTTCCACATTTCATCTCCATCTCCCTTAAGTTTGTTTCTCCCTCTGCTTTGGCTGAGCCCCTTTGTGTTCGCTCGTTTTTGGGATCAGTGTCTCTCTGCCTCTTTTTTTTTTTTCCTTAAAAACCTTCTGAATCTCCCTCCTGCCAAGAGTTCAAAGCATATTTTTTTTTCCACATTCTTCTTAACTTTGCATGAAAAGCCAAATCATCTTACGTTTGTAAGGCCAACAATTTAAGTTGCCATTGTATACTGATAGAATTTTTTTTTTTACTTTTCTTTTCAAGACTTTAAAGCTTTCTAAATAATAGAATATTCATGGTTTTTCATCCTATCCCATAAGTAGGCCCGCATTGAAATCTGCGTTGAAATAACACAATGCCTCAGGATGTATAATACCCCGAGGAAAAAAGGGGGAGAAGAGAGCTCAAAGTGAAAACTTGAGCTCTGGTTTAGCAAATGGGACTCATCTGATCTATTATTAATATGATGTCCAGGGGAACGGGTCTTTTTGAAGATTCTTCGGTGGCCACGAAGCAACATGTCTTGCGGCAAGAACTGACCGAACTTTCAAAGAATGAGAAAGTTTTGGACAAGCTGATCCAGGAGTCCTCTCTGCAGTTAAAGCATCTGACAGAAGATGAGACCAACCAAAGATATCCTTTTGAGAGGTGGGTGGGTGAAGACAGGGGTGAAATGCTCCCGGGTTCAGACCGGTTCGATTGAACTGGTAGCGATGGCAGCCGGTGGTTCGGAGAACCGGTAGCGATGGTGGCGCGAGGCTCCGCCCACCCGCTTGGTTGTCGTTACTTCCTGGTTTTAACCAGGAAGTAACCAGTTTTTTACCCTCTGTGCATGCGCTTAAGGTCTGTGCATGCCCAGAGGGTCTGCGCATGTACGTTCCGAACCGGTTGGGAAGGTAAGTAAATTTCACCCTGGGTGAGGAGGACAATGACTAGAGAAGAGGGAGGGGCTTCCAGGAGAATCAAATCATTCCTGGTTCACACTGTTGAAGACCAGGGGCCAAAGGTTCAGAATCCAGCAGGCTCCACGCAGAGCCATTCTCGGGGTCCGTCCCCCCCATCAGCTAAGTCAAGGTGTGCTGTTATTATCTTTAAATATACAGTAGTGGCCAAAATTGTGGAAACCTTTTGGGAAAAATGTATTTTCTAAAACTAGTTAATAACACCACTTTTTTTTGTTTTTGGAGTAGTACCATAAAATTATATATCAATGGAAAGATAATTTAATCAAGAATGTAATGCTATAATTTTTATGAAGGATTTGCTATTAGAATAGCAGTTAACAGCATAAAGAAGAAAAGCGAAACAGGTAGAAAAAACGAGATATACAAAAATTATCACCATAGAAAAAAACGAGATATGCAAAAATTATCACCATGTCAGTTAATACTTAGTTGGGTAACCTTTAGCATGAATTACGGCCTTACAACGTCTCCCCATGGAGTGAACCAAGTCTTTGAGTTCTGCAGCTGTTATAATGTGAAACCAAGATTGAATGATTGCTCTTATTAACTGGGTTTTATTTCTGGGTTGCTTCTGACTAACAAGTTTCTTTAGTCAGCTCCATAAATTTTCAATTGGGTTAAGGTCTGTCTGGGCTATTGCCAGGCCATTCCAGCAGTGGAATAGGATTATCTTGAAACTCCCCCCAAAAAGTGGTGTTATTAGCCATCAAACCTCAAAAATACACTTTTCCCAAAAGGTTTCCACAATTTTGGCCACTACTGTAATCCATAATGACCAGATTGGTTCCTCATGGTAAACTGCAGGCTGCAGCCAAGAACTGGCTGTATCTCCCTGCGTCTGTTTTATTTATTTATAGACTGCCTTTAATGTTTTTATAAATAGCTGAAGGTGGTGTACATACACAACAATCCTTCCTCCTATTTTCTCCATAACGGTAACAACTGGTGGTGGGTTGGGCTGAGGGAGAGTGACTGGCTCAGGGTCACCCCATCAACTTTCATGCCTAAAGTGGGACTAGAATTCCCAGTCTCCTAGTGATTGGGCCAAAATCATCCAGCTTGCTTTCATGCCAAGGTGGAATTAGAATTCACAGTCTCCAGGTTACCAGCGTGATATGTTAACCACTAGACTAAATTTCCCTTATGATGCCCAAGATACCTCTAACAAGGATAGAAGCAAAAGGTCTTGGCTTTATTTTGTTTTAATTTGGGCGGTTGGGAAGGTGAAAGAGCAGGAGGCTTCCTAATTACACTCATTTTACCCCTTCAGCCCAATTTTTTCCCCAAATTTTTGAGAGTTGGAACTTCTTTTAACCTTTCCAGAAGTATTCTGAGGTGGTTTTGACCATGGTGAATGCCCTGCGTTCGAAACAACCCACTTTTGAATCTGAGATATAAGTTCAGGCCCAAATGGGGCTGATTGAAATTCAGGAAACAGTCAGAACAAAACTGGAATGCAGATACAATTGGAAGAGCCATTTCAAAATCTTTGGTTCCCTCCTTGACCTAGACCATGGTGGGCAACTATGGCAATTTTAGGGCCTGTGGACTTCAACTCCCAGAATTCCTGAGCCAGTATAGCTAGCTCAGGAATTCTGGGAATTGAAGTCTCTAGGCCCGTGATGGCGAATCTACGGCATGCAGCGCCCTCTGTGGGCACGCGAGCCGTCGTCCCAGTTCATGTCTGCCGCGTATGTGCACGCGCCTCCTGCTGGCCAGCTGGTCTACAGGTCTCCGTCACGCATGTGCAAGTCGCGGGGTGCGTGCAGGGGTCACACACGCACAGGGGCGGTGCGTTTGCACAGGGGGCACGTGCAATGCATTTTGGGGGTTCTGGCACGCATGTGCGCATTCACGCATGTGCGCACGCTTTGGGCGCTCAGTCCGGAAAGGGTTAGCCATCACTGCTCTGTCTAGGCCATATGCTGGCTCAGGAAATCTGGGAGTTGAAGTCCACAAGCTGCCATAGTTGCCCATCAGAATTCAGAGTTTGGTGTTTTTCTTTGCAGTGTTTTCTTTAACTTTCCTCTGTGTCCTACGTTAGCCTATGTCACCTATCAGGATATCCGTGCCATCAGCAATTTTAACGAGCAGACGGTGATTGTGGTGAGAGCGCCCCCTGAAACTCGTCTTGAAGTGCCCGATGTTTGTGAGGTAGGACTTGTAACTCATCCTTCTTCTTTTTGGTGGCTGCTCCATCTCTTGCTACAGATAGTCCTTCATTTACAAGTGGTTGCTTAGTGACTGCACCAAGTTATGACAGACCCCCCCCCCAAGGGGTACTTAACAACCTAGTTCCAGTGACACCCTCAGACCAGGTCACATGACCGCATTTTGGGTGGTTGGCCACTAGCCCACATTCACAAGTTTGCAGCATCCCACAGTCACGTGACTCTGTTTTAGGATGTTTTTGCCCCCAAACCAGCATTTACCTCTGGTTTTTGGGTGAAACTGGCCCGTAGAAAACAACTGGTTCGCTTAATGGCCACCACAAGGTTCTAAAATCAAGGTCATGTGAGTGACTCATTTTATGACCGTAATGGGCCAGCTCCATTATGCTCATAAATTGAGGACTACCTGTAATTGTTTGTTCCCAGACAGGTGCCCTTGGGGCTTGAGGGTAGTGAGTCATGCCTCTTTCTTGATTTGTTCCTCCTCCTCTTCCTCCTCCTCCAGGAGAATGTCCAGCTCCACCTAAGGAGTACCAATGGCCCCATTGAGGTCTACCTGTGCCCAGAAGAAATTCTGGAAGAAAGTCCTGCCAAGGAGAGCTGTTTTCCTCTTCCAGCACCCCAGGAGGTTACTAAACCCGCAACGGTGAAAGGTAACGTTGGAAGCTCTAAAGGGATGATCACCTTGGTTTTCTGGGAAAGACTCATTTCATTCTGAAAGATGCTCTCCAGGGTTACCCATGGGCTGACCCTGCATTTTGAGGCCAATCCCCTTCTAACAGGCTTCTGCCATCAAACAGCTGGGCTTGGGAGCTGTCCTTTGATCATCCTTAGATAGATAGATAACATAGATTAGATTAGATTAGATTAGATTAGATTAGATTAGATTAGATTAGATTAGATTGAAGATAGATAGATAGATAGATAGATAGATAGATAGATAGATAGATAGAATAGATAGATAGATAGGATAGATAGATAGATAGATAGATAGATAGATAGATAGATAGATAGATTGATAGATGATAGGTGATAGATAGATAGGCAGGCAGGCAGATAGGTAGGCAGATAGGTAGAGAGGTAGATGAGAGAGAGAGATACACACACACACACACACACACACACACATATATATATATATATAGAGAGAGAGAGATTAGATAGAAAGATGATAGAAAGATAGACAGACAGGCAGACAGATTTAGATAGATAGATAGATAGATAGATAGATAGATAGATAGATAGATAGATAGATATACATAGAGACAGATAGATAGAGATTGATAAAGATAGATAGATAGATAGCCAGAGAGATGGATGGATGGATAGATAGATAGATAGATAGATAGATAGATAGATAGATAGATAGATAGATAGATAGATATAATTCTTTATTGGCCAAGTGTGATTGGACACACAATTTGTCTTTCTCAATGTACATAAAAAGACAAGATACATTCGTCAAGAATCATAAGGTAGAGCACTTAATGATAGTCATAGGGTACAAATAAGCAATCGAATCACACTAGGAAACAATAAATATAAATTGTAAGGATACAGCAACAAGTTACGGTCATACAGTCATAAGTGGGAGGAGATGGGTGATAGCAACGATGAGAAGATTAATAGTAATAGTAATGCAGACTTAGTGAATAGTTTGATAGTGTTGAGGGAATTATTTGTTTAGCCAGAGTGATGGCATTCGGAAAAAAACTTCTTGTGTCTAGTTGTTCTGGTGTGCAGAGTCCTATAGCGTCATTTTGAGGGTAGGATCCATCATATGATTCGGACTTGTAGCTTCCTGAGGAGACTTGCTGTTCATTAATGGAACCAAGTAACCTTGGTGGCTCTCCACCCTACCCCCCCTTGGTGGTGGGCTGGAAGACCCAAATGTTGAAGGGTGCTGCAGTGACAAGCTTCCTGCACTCTCAGATAACCCTCAGTGACCTCCGAAGTCCTTTAGCACAAGGATTCTGTGATTAGGAGAAGTTCCAATCAGCCCAACGTCTGTCGTAGACTTTGCGTAGCCCACTAAGAAGCTGTAACCAGTCTTCTGCCCATCACTAATCATTGGAAATATCTAAAAGTAATCCCCGTCGTAGGACACAGTCACCAAAGTCTGTCATGGCCATATCTTGCATCTGGTTGTGGAAGCTCATGAGACCAGGTTATTCTTAGGAAAAGGATGAGGGCTATGGTAATCTCTCTGGTCTTTTATAACTCAGATCAGAATAGAATAGAATAGAATAGAATAGAATAGAATAGAATAGAATAGAATAGAATAGAATAGAATAGAATAGAATAGAATAGAATTCATTATTGGCCAAGTGTGATTGGACACACAAGGAATTTGTCTTGGTGCATACGCTCTCAGTGTACATAAAAGAAAAGATACATTCATCAAGAATCATAAAGTACAACACTTAATGATAGTCATAAGGTACAAATAAGCAATCAAATCATACCAGGAAACAATATAAATCTAAGGATACAGCAACAAGTTACAGTCATAAGTGGGAGGAAATGGGTGATAGGAACGATGAGAAGACTAATAGTACTAGTAATGCAGCCTTAGTGAGTAGTTTGACAGTGTTGAGGGAATTATTTGTTTACCAGAGTGATGATGTTCAGGAAAAAACTGTTCTTGTGTCTAGTTGTCTGGTGTGCTCTATAGCGTTGTTTTGAGGGTAGGAGTTGAAACAATTTATGTCCAGGATGTGAGGGGTCTAGATATTTTCACAGTCCTCTTTTTGACTCGTGCAGTATACAAGTTCTCAATGGAAGGCAGGTTGGTAGCCATTGTTTTTTCTGCAGTTCTAACTATCCTCTGAAGTCTGTGTCTGCCTTGTTGTGTTGCAGTTGCAGCTCTAGCCCAAGTGGTTGCTTCTGCTCCCACTGCCTGCTCTTTCCTTTTCTGGGCCCCAAAGGGGGAGGGAATGGGGTGGGGCAGAGTGGGAACCCACTTTCTCATGTGGCCCCTGCTCATTTGAAGAAGGTGGGCAAAACGGTGTCCACATTAAGGATGCAGGTGGATCCTAGTAACTCCTGGAGTTCAACGGTTGGGTTCCATCTTGGGACCTCACTTAGAAGATTTCCAATATTCACGGGGCTGCCACAGAGAAGGAGGTGGGGTCAACTTTTCTCCAAAGTACCTGAAGGAAGGACAAGAAGCATGGATGGAACCTAATCAAGGAGAGAAGCAACCTAGAACTTTCCTGACAGAAGAATTAATCAGTGGAACGATTTACCTTCAGACATTGTGGGTGCTCCAACCCTGGAGGCTTTTTAAGAAGAGATTCGACAACCATTTGTCTGAAATAGTATAGGGTTTCCTGCTTGAGCAGAGGGTTGGACTAGAAGACCTCCAAGGTCCCTTCCAACTCTGTTATTCTGTTTCTTGGTGCCCAGGGGTGCTGGCTCTTAGAATAGAATCATAACTTTATTGTCACTTTGAATGAACACTAATCAGCATACATTAAAATGAAATTTCGTTGCATACAGGTCTCAAAGGGTCACCACCTCCAATATACACTATATGAACATGACAAAATAAATACAAAATTAAATAAACAAATTGACACGATAAAATAAATAAATACACACACACACACATACATAGAAAATCTTGGCCCTGCCATCTTTGCTGCGATGCTCACATTATGCCTTGACTTCCCTCTTGTTTCCCCAGTGGAATTGGTGAAGACGGAGGTGCCGGACTGCCTGATGGAAGGGGAGGATGGTCTCCTAGAACCCCCTCAGCACCTCCTGCAGCAGACAGAGGACCAGCTCCCTTCTACAGCCTATGGCGACCCAGGCCCTTTTGTCAGTTTTTCCCCTCCCCTCGATCAAGAGGATTATCTATGGGGACTGGAAGAGGGCGAGGGTGTAAGTGACTTGTTTGATGCCTATGACTTGGCGGATTTGCTGAAAAATTGAACCCAGAGTTTCCCCGGCCCTTCCCACGGTGCTACCAATCACCTGCCCTGCGCGCACACAGAGACCCAGATTCCGAAGCTTTTGGCTTTCTCAGCAGCGTCTTTTTTGCATTTTGGGGAAGCCTCAGCGTTTTTTCTCCTTAATAGCATTTCGTTTTTTAAAGAAGGGCTGAGGGTCAGATTTTGGACTCTTGTTTTCCCTCTTTCTTCCATCAGGCCCCATGAAAATTGCACACACCATTGCCAACGCCTTGGAGAACCCAGGAAGTCTTAATTCAGTTGTATATTTTCTTGGTGGAGCCCCACACATTTCAAGGGGCATAAGGCCTCCCTCTAAGGCACCGCTCAGCCCCTGAGAAAGACCCACAAATCTGTCCTTCGTAAGTGTGCCAATGTGACTTCTCCAGGGGTAGCATGCCAGAGAAGCCCCAAATCCGTTATTTTCCTTCTGGACCCCTGACCCCCAACTCAGGCATCCCAGATATACTGTATTTTTCAGACTATAAAACACACTTTTTTGTCTCCCAAAAGGGGATGAAAATCTCTGTGCGTCTTAATAGACCAAATATTGCTGAAGCCCCGCCCATCCGCCAGCTGTTTTTTGGCCTCCGCACAGCCCGTTTTCAGGCTTTTTTTTTTTTGCCCCTTTTTGTTTTGCCTTTTTTCTCACGGTTGTTTTTCTGCCTTTTTTTTTTTGGGGGGGGTTAGTCTATTTTTGAGGCCTTTTTTGGCCTGTTTTTGAGGCTTTTTTCACCTGTTTTTTCAGACAAAATGGGTCAGAAAAAGCCTCCAAAACGGGCAAAAAAAAAAGGCTGGAAAAGGGCCGAAAATGGGACATGCAGAGGCCAAAAACTTTTTTGTTGTTGTTTTCCCTCTTCTAAATTTAAGTGCATCTTATAGTCCGAAAAATATGGTAGTTAGGTAGTTGTCCAAAAGTAAATGTCCTGGAACAGGAATTGATTTGCAGGATTCCTGACCAGGAACAGGAAGTTGAAAATGGCTGTCTTCTTGGTATGAGCTTCCCAATAAATAATACAATCCATCTTTCGGGGCTGGGGGGAGTGAACGAGGGGGTAGGCCAGCTTCTCCTGATGCCAGGGTTCTCCTCCTCCTAAGTGAGCCTGGATCAACCAGACATGTCTCTGAGGCTACTCAATGCAAGATGAACTTGGGTAGGTTCTTCCATATTTTAGCACCCTAGCTGAACTTTGGAAAATCTCAGCATGCCCTGGTTTGAAGCTAACTTCACATGCCTTGCAAATAAATGCTTCTAATTCCATCTCGGAGGCAGTACGGCATCCTCCACGTGTTTGAGGCTTTCTCATCAGCCCAGCTGGTGAGGGGGAGTGGGAGTTGTCCAATAAGAAAGAAAAAGAAAAGATTAACCACCTTGCTTGGTTCCACCTCAAGCGATGGATAAAACCAAGAGGGCGTTGGATTTCTTTTCTGCTAAAAGCTGAGGTCTAAGAAGGCAGCCACGTTCTTTCCCAAGATGCAGCTTAAAAGGATGTTTTTAAATCCATGCAAACACACTTTCCCCTTTCCCCAGACAGGTTTGGTCTTTTGAGTTGGCTGTGTTAATATTCCTATTTGGACCATTTCTGATTGCCCAACTTTCATTCTTTGTTGGGTCCAAGTGTTCAACTCCTAGTCATGCCAACTGATGTGGCGATTCTCCAAGATCTGGATCTCAGTGGATCCGAGGCTTTTCAGCGGTCCCTTAAGTCTTGACCGTAGCCTTAATTCTGAAGAGTGTGTTTTTCGGTCAAAGAAATGGTGACCCGTCAGCCATTTTATGTATTCTAATAAGTAGAATAATGTAGCCTCTGACTCACACTATATAAAGCAGATGCGATGTTACAGGGGAACATTATACTCAGTGGTGGGATTCAAATAATTTAACAACCGGTTCTCTGCCCTAATGACCGGCTGGGTGGACGTGGCCATGATGGGTGTGGCCAAGGGGCGTGATAGGCAGCAGTCCTTATCCCCCCTGGGAGCAAAAATGGGCCATGGGGGGGGCACATCACCACCCCACATCGTTTTGGGCCTAGTAGGCCTCCCTGCAGCCTCCTGGGAGCGAAAACGGGGCTCGTGGGGACTCCGGGGAGGGAGGGACCAGCCAGTAGTTTAACAACTGGTTCATTCAAACCGGCTGAATCCCACCACTGATTATATGAGCGGTGGAGTTGCACATTATTCGCCTGCAATCTGAACATTTCCAGACTCATAAATCCTTTGCTTCTGAGGCCGACCCTGGCATCTCAGCAATACTTGCTTATTTTTGTCAGAACAGAGCTTCCCTGTATCGGTGACTTCGGATTTGACCGCAACAGATCACTTTCTATCAGATAACCAGAATTGGTTGTCTACCAAAATACATGGATTATTCAAGAGCTCAGGCAAGCTGAATTTCCGTGCTGTAAGGTCACATACCTGCAGCTCTCAATAAAACTGCAGCACATTTCCTTTTAGGTTTGCTGCTGCTGGATGGATGGAAAGAGCTACCTATTTCAAAATTAGTTCATTTCTATGAAAGGTGAAACAGCTCTCGACCTGTATTTTATTTTTCTTTCAAAAAAAGGAAGAGATTTTCAAAGTTGCGTATCTCTTCCCTAAATAGGATGGTGGAAGGGAGGGGAAAAAGATCAAAAGGCAGGGAAGTCTTTTCCAGTAATTGTCTCATAATTGTCATTTCTAGCTGTCTTAGTGACACAAGTCCATCTGTAGTAAATGCATCCTTTCTCAGGGAACTAGAATGTCACTTGGGTTGTTTTCTGATCCAAGATCACTGAGGTTTGGAGGGGACACTCCTGTCCAGGAGTATGCGCTCTCATCAACATGTAGAGTAGGAGTGTCCAACCTTGGCAGCTTTTAAGACCTGTGGACTTCAACTCCCAAAATTCCCCAGCCAGCCATGCTGGCTGAGGTATTCTGGGAGTTGAAGTCTTCAAGTTGCCAAGGTTGGACACCCTTGACGTAGAGGAAGACCAGATGCTAAATAGACAACAAGATGACCTGGATCCAGGGATCCTGTGGTTTAAAGTCTGGAGCTTTACTGATCCTTAAGCCACCAACCATGCACAGTTTGGATCCACCCTTGATTATTATTTTTTTCCTTTCTTCACAACTTATGTGACTGAATTCCTTGAACAAATTCAGCCTAGATTTAAAGGGGCCCTTGGTTTGCCTTAACCACATCATCAAGTAGAGCTGGCTTATTGCCACGTTGGGACCCTATATCTGGGCTGTATCTGTTCAGGAAGTCATAACCTAACGCAGAGGATATTTAGATTCCAGGATGAGATGTCAGCCTAGCCTTTTTTTGACATGCTTGTTTCTTCTGCATGCAAAGGTTTATAGTTGGGCTGCTCAAAATATTAATTCCTTTGCTTGCGGTCTCTCAATTGGAACTAGTAGTGATTAACCAGAGGCCTGAATGTGTGTTTGTGCATGTACAGGGTGGGTGAATGTGGGAATGCAAGAGAAAGAAATTCAAAAGATTGCATTATCTGGAAAGTGAATATCAGGTTCTGTATAGTGTTTTGGGGCACCTGTCTTATGGGGAGGGGGGGGATCCTCAGTCTATATGCTTTTCCCTTAGCTGATCTCTTAAAATCTGAATTATACCCTGTATTCCAAATTAGTTTTGCACTCTGCTCGTGCAAAACGTAGTGATTTTATTTTTATTTTGGTTGCAAGGAAATGGGGCCACGTTCACGACGTCGGTGACTGTAGTTCACAGAAAGCTTCTCACTGCCTTATTTTTTAGAGCCCCCCGTTAAACCCAGTGTAGTTTTTCTGGCTACGGCCACCCTCAGTTTTGTTGCTCGAGCAGGAAACGAGGGAGCGGAAGGCGCCAAATTTGGACGCATCGTGGAAAGGTGTCCCCAGCTTTGCCCCAGGTGGCTATAGCAATGCTGGCCAGGCTGAAGATTGCATTAGAATTGCACAGAGTTATACCTCTTGACACAGATGCCTTGCACAACCCAAGAGTAAGCCTTAGCACACTTCCTTGTCCAGATGCTATTCCTTGGTTCACAACCTGTCCCCCCCCCCTAGGTCTACGGCAACTCGCCATGGCCAACTCGCTGCGGGACAAGAGTTACACTAATATCGAAGAAACACTGGCATAGAATCATTAAAGAAAGGATGCCAAAGAAGGGACAAAATGAAATGTGAATGACAAAAAATTAAACATTTATTAAATTGAATTGTTCAGAGTTGTCCTGTGGCGAGTTGGCTACGTTGTGTTAGGTGTGGTGAGCTATCCGTGGCGAGTTGTCCCATTCCGTGCCACCCCTGCTTAAAAAGAGAAGTGGCTGTTTGGATAGGGGAGCAGTTCAGGGGTGAAATGCTACTGGTTTGCTCCAGTTCGGGCGAACCGGTAGTGATTAAAACTACCTGTTCAGTTGAACTGATAGTTTAAAAGGCTAGCTGTTTGACCAAATTGGTAGTTTAAAAGGGCTACCGATTCTTCCAAACCGGTATTTCCGACGATCAGCTGTGCTGCACTGTTTAGCTTTGCTAGAAAGCAGGAAATCCTGCTTTCTAGCAAAGCTAAATCGCGCAGCACAGCTGATTTCCCCCCCCCTTCACTGCTCTACTTACCTTCCCAGGCCTCCCTTTGGTGCGCACAGTGCACATTTGGTGTGCATGCGTGATGCAGCACACGCGCATGCACAGCCAGTGAACCAGTAACAAACTGGTTCAGATTTCACCACTGGAGCAGTTCCATTGCTAGTTGCTGGTCCCTGCTTACGGTTATTGGCTTCGTGTAGCTTATCTTCATTAAACCCTGGGCTCACATGCACAGTGTTGGAAGTGTGTGTGTTGGGGGGGAGGGGGAGGCGGTGCCGGGGTTCCCTTCTTTGAACAAAGGGCTATGTGTTTTTTTACTATTTGATAAGCTTTTGGAAGACACATGTCTTTATGGATTTCTTCCTCAATGAAATTATTTGTATGTGAGATTTAAAAAGAACAATGAATTTGAAGAACCGTTCTACAACCCCGGAAGTTTGCAGAACGCTGTTTTTTTGGAGCTAGGCTTATAGAATAATTAGTTTATCATGTCGCCGTTTGGTTAGCAGAGGTTTTTTTTTTTTTTGGTGTTTTCTCACACCAGGTTTTAATAGGGGTTGAGCATATGCTTAATGAATTGCAGCTCAGCTCCAGTCTTAATTCTAACGCGCAGGAGGGATTCCTTGTGCAAGCCACCTTTTAAAATTCTTACCAATACCTTTGGCCCAGCGACCCTCGCTGGGTTTTGTCTTAAAAATTGTAAAAGTTGTATATAATAGTTGCACTGTATTTATAACAGGAACCATCTTTGACGCTTGTTGGGCCACGTGTGAGTTTTATTTGCTTTGTTTGAAAACCAGAGTATTTAAAAAAAAAAAAATGTGTTCTAAGGCTTTTTGTGATGTTTGCCTTGGCCTTGTGGATGGAGATGTGTATGACTTAAAACAAAACAAAAAAAATAACCTTGAGGCACTTGATGACGTGTTTTATTATTATTTTTCTTTTGTGAGCAGCAATGACAAGAAGAAGGAAATAAAACGTTTGAACCAAAGTGGGACTCATTTTCAGCTCCTTTATGTGTGGCTCCTTTTTTTGCTTTTTTTAAAATTTTAACTACAGGACGTG